ACTATTGAAATAAAGATCTTAGGAATGAAAAAAAAAACAGGTTATAGACTTATTATAGTGTATCCATACGAACCATCCGAAAGAAATTCTTTACATTTTACCAACATTTTATGGAACAATACTTGGGTTCACCCCCGAGGTGAATGGTTAAATTCACCTCACCTCTTATAGCCAATCATATTGCCTTGTCAGATTATTTAAAAAATGAAATATATTAAATTAAAAAACAACAGTTAGAAAATTACTGTATGAAAAACTCTAACCCCCTAAACCATAAACTCTAAATTCGAAACCCTAAATTCTAAGACCTAAACTCTAAACCTTTGATTCTAAACCCTAAATTCTAAACCTTAAACCTGAATTCAAGACTCTAAATCATAGTTCATAAACTCTAAACCCTAAACCCAAGATCATAAATTCTAAACCCTAAACTAAAAACCGTAAACCCTAGATCCTAAACCCTAAACCCTAGATCCTAAACCCTAAACCCTAGATCATAAACTCTAACCCTAAATCTTAATTCTTAAACCCTAGATCTTAAACCCAAAGATTTTAGGGTTTTGTGATTTAGAGTTTTGGGTTTAAGAATAAGAATTTAGAGTTTAAGGCTTACAATCTTGGGTTTAGGGTTGAGAGTTTAGGATATAGGGTTTAGGGTTTAGATTTTTGGGTTTAGGGTTTAGGATCTAGGGTTTAAGGTTTTGGGTTTAGAGTTTAGGATTTAGGGTTTAGAATTTATGATCTCGGGTTTAAAGTTTATAATCTATGGTTTAGAGTCTAGAATTCAGGTTTAGGGTTTAGAATCAAGGGTTTAGTGTTTAGGTTTCAGAATTTAGGGTTTAGCTTTTAAAATTAGAGTTTATGGTTTAGGTGTTAGAGTTTTCATACAGTAATTTTTTTAACTGTTTTTTTTTAATTTCATATATATATTTTTTTAAATAATCTGACAAGGCAATTCTATTGGCTATAAGAGGTGAGGTGAATTTAACCATTCACCTCGGGGGTGAACCCAAGTATTGTTTCATTTTATGGTTCTAGATACATTAAAAAGGTTACTTTGAAGCATTGTGTGTAGCCACAATATTCTGAGTTCGTGCTATTTTAGCTAAATGATAACATGTTGGATTAAATTGCGCATGAGTCTTATGATATCAATGTAAATAAATCGTATATCTTTAACAGTCACAAACTTTAATTACAATCACCCATGCCACAAGACTTATTGTTATTAAAAAAAAAAGACTTATTGTTATTATATATATATATAAGATATCCTTATTACAGAAACAAATTCTTGATAGCACAAACCTAATTACACATATCGATTAATCAAAATAGTCATATATCTTGTGTGCCTAACCATGGGAATAAAAAAGGACGTGCTGTTTAGTCCAGTTAGCCAATGGAACATCATCATACCGTTGACAGCATCAGACACAGGTTCGAGCAATACGATAACGATCTCGAAAGAGTTAGTAGAAGCCAAGATATTTCCCTGGTGGCCTAAAAAACGTTGCGTAAAATTTCTAGAATCTGACTCTTTTGAGATGGTGGATCTCTATGATCTTCATCTTAAAGTTACAACAGCTGTGGCAATCAAGAAAGATGAGCATGGAAACTTCAAGGTATATGGGTGGCAGTCCGTTCTTGAGAAAAGACATTTCAAGACAAGTGATGTTATTGGGTTTTGGTGGGATAAAAATTACGGTCGAATTAATTTCGAACNCTAGAATCTGACTCTTTTGAGATGGTGGATCTCTATGATCTTCATCTTAAAGTTACAACAGCTGTGGCAATCAAGAAAGATGAGCATGGAAACTTCAAGGTATATGGGTGGCAGTCCGTTCTTGAGAAAAGACATTTCAAGACAAGTGATGTTATTGGGTTTTGGTGGGATAAAAATTACGGTCGAATTAATTTCGAACTACTCGGGATCGCTTAACTGCATGAATCTCTCAATCTCTGTTCTCAATTTCAACTTCATTTGCGACCAGAGATAAATCTCTTTGAAATTTATATTAAAAAAAATATTATTAGCATTGTAAGATAATATATTTTAAAAATTAATAAAGAGTCAAGTGAAATTTTTCTCCAGTAATTTTATTTTTTCTATTTCTGCTTTTTGGCATTCGAATCTATAACTAGAGCTTATCATTATAAATAAATTTGGTTTCTGTCTCTCCTTAGCATGTTTAACTCAGCAAGGAGAAGGGAGTGTTTGCCGACACGTCAACATCTCAAAAACACAACTTTAGCGCCATCCAACCACTCCTTCCACTATGTCGCATTCAACACACCCCCTCCTTCCCCCATGGTTACGAACCTACAGCTATAAATATGGGTTTTCGCTTTCGTGAAATTCATCAGTTTCTCTCTCTCAAACAATATGAATTGGTTTAGAAGCAACGAGGATCTTGATTCCGCGTAAGTCTCATTTCACAAGCCTTTTACTTACTTTATATGACTTCATTGACTTGCACTTGTGTATATGTGTTTTATCATAAGGTTGCTTTTTAACTTAATTATGTTATGATCTCAAGTTAGGAAGCATGTTGGTGAAGTCTTAGTCTGTGCTGTTTAGATTAGTTTTTGCCTCAAAATTTACTTGAGTCTTCTGCTTCATAGCTTATTTTCTGTAAATAAATATAGTTCAGTGTTGGGTTTTGCTTTAATGATTGAGCTGCAATATAAATTTCATAACCTCTTTTTTTTTGTTGATTTTGCAGAATGGTAATTGCAATTAAGTAGATACCAAAAGGGACTTCAAAGGGTATGTCTGATGATGTTGAGCCTTCTTCTAAGTAGAAAATCAAGAAACTCACCGAGAATGGCACCACACTCTCAAGCAAATGTGTTTCTACTGTACTTTTTTAATCACCCATGGACGCAGTCCCGGCTTTAGGCATGTGCCAACAGTGCACAAGCACAGGGTCCTACTTTGATTTTTTTCTTTTTGTTTTAGGCCCTATTTTTTTGTATTTTGACAAGAAAAGGTCCAAATTTTGTATTTGCTAAATATAGACCTATATATGATTTGGAAAATGGATTTGCACAGGGCCCAAATTTAGTTTGAGCCGGGCCTGCATGGACATATACATGGCATGATATCTAAATGACATGGATGAAGACAACGAGATGGAGGGTGAACGCAGAGTGGTGAAGGTGCTCATGCCAAGGCTGTAGCCAAATCTTTTGGAAACCATGTTCCATAAGCAAACCTGCTTATTCTTCTTCACCATATGCAACCGTGTTTTTAACTCAGTTGAGAGAAAGATTCTCTAAACTGAGTCCATAAGACCCATTTACATACAATAAAGAACTATATTGTTGAAATGTTTACAGAAATATGAGAAGAACTTCAAGAAAAGACTGGTAACGCATCCTACATTTCCTCACCGATAGGTACATATATTTTCTTAAAGGTTACATTTGTGTAGCAACTAAGACTGATGTGTTGACGTTTTTTTTTAAATATGAATGAAACACTCTAAGAGATGTGAGCATCCCACCAAGGCTTGCAGTTTTTGTAGATTTTCATGTGTCTCTTCCTATTTGATTTTCAGTTTTCAGTCTTAGATGTCTGAATCTCTGTTGATATCTGATTATATGAAACTGGATTTGAAATATGTTATGTTACTAAATGAAATGAGCAACTTAACTGTGATTCTAAAATCTGATTCATTGATTGAGTTTGTTTATTTGCAGGAGAAAAAAATGGAAGCTTTGGACGATCGGGGCTAGATCAGTAGCTGATGATCCTGGAAATAGTGTGAATATACTGCTCGGTGATTGTTTCATGTTTGTTTTGACTTGGTATTCACTGATATAACAATTAAGAATATAAAGACGAGTGACTGGTAAAGTGTAGTAGAGAAAACTCTAAAACAAGAAATGTACATCCGTTATATATTAACTGAGAAATATTACAATATTATTTTGTAGACACGTGTCACCATGAGAATGAAATTCAGAATTCTTAGAAAAATATGTTCGTCCATCTAAATTTATAATATACTTTTTATTAGACTAACTATCAAATTGATAAATAGTGTACACAAGAATATTCTCGCACTTTCTTTAAATAAAAGTTATGAAATTACCTAATATGATTAACGTATAAAAAGATTAATATATATCTGACAATTAATGATTATGAATAATAAATGTTTAATAAAAAATTTGTATCTTAGTTCTTTTTTGTTTAATAGGATTTAGAGTTGAAGTTTCAGGATTTAAGGATTTAGAGTTAATTTTTCAGAGTTTAGAGTTAAAGTTTCAGGGTTTAGGGTTTTAGATTTGATGTTTCAGGGGTTTAGAGGTAAAACATCATGGTTTAGGGTTTTAGAGTTGATGTTTCATGATTTAGGGTTTAAATTTTATGTTTCAGGTTTAAGGTTTTAGAGTTGAAGTTTTAGGGTTCAGAGTTAAAGTTTCAGGTTTTAGGGTTTTAAAGTTGATGTTTAAGGGTTTAGGTTTAGAGTTGAAGTTCCAGGGTTTAGAATTTTAGAGTTGATATTTCAGGGTTTAGATATTAGAGTTGAAGTTCCAGGATTAGAGTTTTTAGAGTTGATGTTTCAGGGTTTAGAGGTAAAACATCAAGGTTTAGGGTTTTAGAGTTGATGTTTTAGGTTTTAAATTTGAAGTTTTAGGGTTTAAGGTTTTAGAGTTGATGTTTCAGGGTTTACAGTTGAAGTTTCAGGTTTTAGGGTTTTAGAGTTGATGTTTCAGGGTTAGGGTTTAGAGTTGAAGTTTCAGTGATTAGGATTTAGAATTGATGTTTTAAGGTTTATGGTTTTTTTTTTTGTCACAAAGGGTTTATGGTTTAAATTTGAAATTTCAAGGTTTAGGGTTTTAGAATTGATGTTTTAGGGTTTAGAGTAGAAGTTTCAAGGTTTAAGGTTTAGAACTGAAGTTTCATGGTTTAGGGTTTTAGAGTAAATTAGTCAAAGAAGTGGCATATAAATCATCCATTAATCTATTACTTTTTAATTAGTCAAAGAATGTGTATAAGGGTAAATCATCCCTTTAATTAAACCTATTTTGTGACTTGTTGGAATCACACAAAGCATTGCTCTCCAAAAGATTGAGGCAGAAAAGCGACGTCATGATGACAGGAGAGGATACATAAGACCTGAAGACCCCCGGTCTTTCTCTAGACAGTACAACGACAGCTACGCCCAAGGTGTGAGGAACAGAGATAGAGAGAGAGGGCTGCATTCTCAACGTGACGACCACTCTAGAGAGCAATCTATTTTGTCTAGAACAGCCCGGTCTAACACTGGATATGCTAGAAGCAGGACTCCATCATTCCAATACAGGGTGGTTGAAAAGAATAGACATAGCTATGTTGCCTCAACACCACACCAGTCAAAGGGGGAGGCGGGTGTGGATCTCAGATCTTTACTTCCAGCTCTACCTGAGAAATCGACCCCACAAAACTCTAGAGCAGAGACCACCCCGACCAGAACAATAAAAGACCGTCTAGGTGTATCATCACTTACTAAAGGAGGATCGAATTCAGGATCAAAGGAGCGTAGATCGGCCTTGGAACGACTTACAGGACCAAACGCTGTTAACGATCCTCAGATGAGAATATCACCTAACTTTGAATCGGGACGCCTCCAGGAAGCCGAGAGCAGAGTAGAAGAAGAGTTGGAGGATGTTTTGGATCGTGAGCAGATAGAGGAACCGATATTGGAAGTTGAAAGGATCCCTGCATCACAAAGGTTAGGAAGTGTAGGCTCTGGTTCTAAGAGCAGAAGAGGTGTTATACCGGTAGCTGCTCAGAGTAAAGCCGCGGTGAAACGTCGAGTTGCCAACCCTATAAGGAAACGCGTTGCTAGAAGTCCTTTGTTAGGACTGAACCAAAAGAAATCAACGGTGGTCCGATCAGCTACAGCAACAAGGAGAAGGCTTACAGTAGAGAAGGACAAAGATTTACCTTGTAATAAGGCTGGAACTAGTAAGCAACACAAGAAGAATGGGCAACCAACTACGGTGTGTATACCGGGAACTACGAGAGGGGGGGGTGGATTTTCGGCCCCATCAAAACTCTCTTTCTTAGCCATTCTCAGCTGGAATTGTCAAGGACTTGGGAGCGTCCAGACAATCCGGCGAATCAAGGAGATCCATAAACACATGGCTCCTAATGTAATGTTCTTGATGGAGACTAAGAATGATGATGAGTTTATTAATAAGAAACTACAATCTTTGCGCTATTCTCAGTACTTTTCGATTCCTCCGATAGGATTAAGTGGCGGACTCTCTCTTTTATGGAATGACGACACTGATATTACAATCCTCGAATCATCTCCCAATCTTATCGATACGAGGATTGTGTATCAAGGAATCACTTCTTTCGTTTCTTTTGTCTACGGTGCACCAGCAGCAGAGAACAGAGTGGCCTTTTGGAACAAGCTGAGTACTGTGGGACAGAGAAGGGATGATCCATGGCTGCTTACAGGGGATTTTAACGATATAGTCAATAATGCAGAAAAATCTGGAGGACCGGCCAGCGTTGAGGGATCTTTCACGGACTTTCGATCCTTTGTGGCGCAAAACGGCCTCTGGGACCTTAAGCATTCAGGAGAACAGCTTTCTTGGCGGGGCAATCGCTATACACATTTTATACGATCTAGACTTGATCGGTCTTTGAGCAATTGTGCTTGGGCGGAAGCTTTCCCAATGGGAAGATGCAGATACTTGCGATTCGAGGGCTCGGATCACAGGCCTCTAATGTCTTATTTCAACGCCGACAAACCCAAAAGAAAGGGCATGTTCCGTTTCCACAGGGATCTAACAGAACAGGAAGAAGTAACTGAGGTTATTGACAAGGTGTGGAACTCGTCCACGCTAGACACTGTCATATTGAAACTAAACAAAGTCAGAAGAGGCATTATTCAGTGGTCCAAGGAGAAGCAAACACAGAGTAATATCATCATTAAGCAAAACCAGGAGACGCTAGAGAGAGCTTTATCCAGTCATATCCCTGATGTTGCTTTGATTGAAACCCTAAATACTGAGCTCCGACAAGCTTACCTCGCTGAAGAACAGTTCTGGCTACAAAGGAGTAGAGTTCAATGGCTTTAAAAGGGAGACAGAAACACGGGGTTCTTCCACGCAGTGACCAGAACAAGAAGGACGATAAACTCAATCCCGGTTATAGAAGATGCGCAAGGAGGAGCAGTGTATGAAGAGCAACAGATAACTCGCGTGATTTCTGATGACTTTAATCAGATTCTTACATCAAATGGCAATGAATCTTTTTCACAGATCCAGGGATTACTTACAAAGAAGGTTACACCAGAAATGAACGAGATGCTGGTAGCCATACCGAGTGATTCGGAAATAAAGATAGCGGCAAAATCCATAAATGGTGGGAAGGCGCCGGGACCGGATGGATTCTCTGCCACGTTCTATCAATCCTACTGGCATATAGTTGGTTCGGATGTCATCACGGACGTACGGAAGTTCTTCACAACAAGCCAGCTACACCCTCAACAAAATGAGACGCACATCAGACTTATTCCGAAGATTACGGGGCCGAGAGCTGTGGCAGATTACCGACCTATTGCCTTGTGCAATACGCACTATAAGATTATCGCTAAGATCCTAACCAGACGTCTCAAACCACTACTCCCAAGCCTCATCTCCAATAATCAATCGGCTTTTGTGGCGGGAAGAGCAATAACGGATAATGTACTCATCACGCATGAAACCTTACACTTCCTATGGACCTCGGAGGCAAAGAAGTACTGCTCCATGGCTGTGAAAACGGACATAGCAAGGCTTATGATAGGATCGAATGGAGATTTGTGAGAGAAGTACTATCTCAGCTTGGCTTTGATCCGATATGGATCTCTTGGATTATGAACTGCATTGAGACTGTGTCGTATTCCTTTTTGATCAATGGATCTGCGCAGGGTTCGGTGAAGCCGTCACGAGGTTTAAGACAAGGAGACCCTCTATCTCCTCACATTTTTATTCTTTGCACTGAAGTATTGTCGACTTTATGTGAGAAAGGGCAATCTGATGGATCTTTTCCAGGGGTCAGAGTATGTCGAAACAGCCCAGCCATCAACCACTTACTCTTCGCGGACGATACCATGTTTTTTTGTCAATCAAAAGCATCATTTGTTGAAGCTTTGATGAAGATCTTAAAGGTTTATGAGGAGGTTTCTGGACAGAAAATTAACCCGCAAAAATCAGCAATCACCTTTTCCGCTAAAACTCCAGCAGCGGTCAGAGCTCGGGTTAAGGAATCATTGGCGATTGCCATGGAAGGAGGGATAGGGAAGTATCTGGGACTTCTCGAACAATTTGGCAGGCGAAAAAGAGATATTTTTGCCTCTATATTGGACAGGATAAGACAGAAGGCGCACAGCTGGACATCACGATATTTGTCAGGGGCAGGGAAGTAGATCATGATTAAATCAGTGCTAGCGGCGATGCCATGTTACGCGATGTCATGCTTCAAGCTACCAGTTTCCTTGTGCAATCAAATTCAATCCTTGTTAACGCGATTCTGGTGGGACTCAATACCGGATAAGAAAAAGATGTGTTGGGTATCGTGGGACACAATGACACTGCCGAAATTTGCAGGAGGTCTAGGATTTCGAGACATTGAAACCTTTAACGATGCACTTCTTGCAAAAATTGGATGGAGATTAATCAAAGACCCAAACTCCTTACTGGCGCAAGTCCTATTGGGTAAATACGCAAAAGGCTCCACCTTTTTAAACTGCCAGACATCAGCTGCAGCATCCCACGGGTGGAAAAGTATTTTAGCAGGAAGAGAAAGTTTGAGGAAAGGGCTGAGTTGGGTGATTGGAGAGGGCTAGTCAGTCCGATTATGGGATGATCCCTGGCTATCTTTCAGTTCACCGATGAGACCAGTTGGACCTGCTCCACTGTCGAACCAAAACCTCTTGGTTAGTGACTTGTTATGCCCTANGCTGCAGCATCCCACGGGTGGAAAAGTATTTTAGCAGGAAGAGAAAGTTTGAGGAAAGGGCTGAGTTGGGTGATTGGAGAGGGCTAGTCAGTCCGATTATGGGATGATCCCTGGCTATCTTTCAGTTCACCGATGAGACCAGTTGGACCTGCTCCACTGTCGAACCAAAACCTCTTGGTTAGTGACTTGTTATGCCCTATCTCAAACAAATGGGAGGTTGATAAAATTTGCAGAGTTTTACCTCAGTATGAGGAGACTATTTTGTCGATAAAAATTAGTGTTACACCATCCTCTGACATGATGGTATGGCTTCCAGAAAAATCAGGTTTATATTCCACAAAATCTGGATATGTTATTGCTATGACAGGGACAAGGGGCAACATCGATGAGAACAATCCAGTCAATTGGCTCAAACACATTTGGAATATAAAAACAGCACCGAAGTTGAAAGAATTTATTTGGAGAATTGTGAAGAAGGCTATCCCTGTAAGTGCTACTATGGAAGCTAGAGGTATTGAGAGCTTTAACTGCAAGAAGTGTGCTGGACAGGAGGATGATCTCCATGTCTTTCTCAAGTGCCCCTTAGCGGAGGAGGTATGGAGCCACATTCCGATTGTACAGCGACCTTTAAGCTCTCTCAACTCTGTTACCGACCTGATCAAACAAGGCACTTGCTTTATACCTTTGCCACCGGTGGGACTGACTAATCCATTGTGGCCTTGGGTATTATGGAACTTATGGAAGGAAAGAAACTCTTTGTCATATGAAAACAGAGTCTTCACGGCCAAAGAGATCGTGAACAAGAGTTTAATGGACGCAAAGGAGTGGTCCAATGCTCAGGAAGTTAGTGAGGTGGTAATACCTCGAGATATCTCTCTTCACACGCACCAACAGCGCTCACCGTGTCCCCCACCCAGTGTTCCAACCAGGAATGCTTGTGGTGAAAGTGGATGCGGCCTGGGATCCCACATCGAGAGGATGTGGTATTGGAGGAGTCTATTCTGGTGAAGGTCCAGTTCTTCCCTCTGTTTTATCGGAGGCACACAGTCATGTTTCGTCTGCTCTTATGGAAGAAGCCTTAGCTGTTCATCGCGCGGTTGCTGCCGCTGTCTACTCAAACGTCCGATCCCTGGCGGTTCTCTCTGATTCTCTATCTTTAATCAATCTGTTGAGGAAGGAGGAGCATCAACCTGAACTGTTCGGTATCATGTTTGACATCTATCACTTTGTATCTCTCTTTGATGTAATTTCCTTTCACTTCATTTCGCGCAACTTTAACGCTGAGGCAGATTTGGTGGCAAAATCTGCGCTCAACGGATTTGTTTTAAGCTCCATTACTAGAGAGTAAACACTACTGTGAAATGAGAATTCGGTTTGTTCAAAAAAAAAAACTTGAATTAGTGATGTTTGAGGCTTTATTTCAAATATTATTCTTGTTTGCTCTTGTTTGTTAAAAAAACACAAAATATTTATTAAAACTTTTTGGATGATACATGTCACTTTGAGAATTGCCAATTGACTTCATTCGGTAAGACTGTTTCAAACCGAACAATCCAAACTTCCAAAATGCTGAGTCGAACTAACAAATTTGATTAAACAATACTAAACCGAAAGCAAAGAGCATGTAAAACTGATATTTTCCCTCAACATTGACTTGTTGACTTCTTGTAACCAAACTGTTTCTTTAATCCATTGTTCTGATTGCAGCTATGCGGCAAACGAAGAGGTTTCTATAAAGAAGATAGCAAACTTGTTTGACAAAATATTTTTTGATAAAAAAGATAGCAAACTTGTTATGGCTCAGCTCCTACGCCTTCAACATCTGCACCTCTGGTCAAATTTATTGATCGCCAAGTTAAAAACTAATGTTCATCAGTCTCTGCACTAGGCAGTCCAAGATTTGAAGCTTTGCGGCAACTCTGGTTTGCATCACAAGCATAAGTGTTGTGCATGCACTGTTCTCAGATTTAAAATTGTTTTTTTTTTCCTTTTTCAACCGAACCGGAAATGTTATTATCTGAACCCGACCCGTACTAATATAATATTAGAATGGATTTATAATCGTAAACTAGAAAACTGGAAAATCTGAATACCCTGATTCGAACCCAAACACGTATCTGAACTTCCAGATACAAAAGTATTTTTGTTTGAATAAATTTAACATTATATTTTTTTAAAAAGATGATAAAGAACTCTCGGGGAGATCATCAAATCAAATGGATACTGATTTGGACCAGATTAAGGGTGTGATTGGGATTAAGACTTTCAAGGCTTTAGAAGATTTGACAGTCTTAAGAGCTTTTTTTTCCCAATCAGACATTTTCGAACAATAATCTCCCTAAAGTTCTCAAAGTCAAGATTCACTTCTCTCTCTTTTTTTTCCTTGTTTTTCTAAAGTCACGTAAACAAGGCTTTGAACACACAATATATTTTTTATTTTTTTAAAAATAATTTTTCTTCTCCCATCGAACATTATAATCTTTATATAAATCTATATTGATTATATTATGAAAAATATTTTGTGAATCAACCATCTATCTTTTTTCTTGTTATTTTAAGATCCATATTGCCTAACATTTTTTTTAAATTCTATAATTTATATCTATATATTTTATTTCAAAAAACAATATTAACTTATATTAAAAATCTGAAAAATTTATAATCTAATGCATATATAAAATGAAAATATCATTAAAATAAAAATTAATGAAATAACATAAATCTTTTTTTTAAATTAATGTTCAAATGTAAAATAACAAATTTCACTTTTCTGACTTTTACTAACAGCCACAGTTCTTAAAACCAAAATTTATACAGCCAAAAATCTAAAGTCAAAGCATAAAGCAACGGTCCTTAACAACCAAAAATCTAAAGTCAAAGTCTAAAGCTAACAGTCCTTAACAATCAGAACCTAAAAGTCCAATTCCAAAGTAACCATCAGTCACACATGTATGGTGTACAACTGTTGTTACCATTTTTTTTTTCTGGTATGAGTTTTGTTTTTTGGTACACGGTCTGAATCCAGCAGCTGGAACTTATTACTGACTACTTGAAAAAGATAAACGCATATTTTTGCGGAAATAAAGAATAACGCAAATCCGTAGGAAACCAACAACAAAAGCTAGAGAAACACAAATCCATAACATTAAAAACCAAATCATCAATTTGATAATAAAAACCACAATCATAATAAAAAAAAACGGCCGCACGAAGAAAATAAATTGCAATGATAACAACAAGAAAATAAACATATTTGATACTGAAAACACTCTCAAGGAGGTCAAAATCAAACGGATAGAATTTGGACCCCGGATCATAAGATCCGATTCAAAAGTATCCATCGGTGATACATTTATAACCAGAGCTAGATGTAGTTTTGTATGCATATGTTGTTCCCGTTTGGTTTGTATATTTGGTACATGACCTGAATCCAACAGCTGTAATTTATCATTGACTACTTATAAAAAATAACACATCCGTATGAAGCCAACAATAAAAGCTAGAGAATCACAAACCCATAACATTGAAAAACCAAATCAAACTGCAAAGCACAATTATAATTTAAAAAACGGCAACATAAAGAAAATAAATTCCAATGATAGCAACAACAAAAGAAACACTTTTGTGTAAAGATAGTTTTGTGTAAAGGGAATGCGGAACGTCCACTCTTGAAAACCCTAACGGAACCATGTATTGTAGGTAGGATTTGAACTTGTAACGGGGTTAGCACTGCTTGCGCCAACAGTTGTTGTCGGAGCAGTGGAGGATTCGCCAGGGGTCTGCTGCTGCTGTTGGTGGTGGTGGTGGTGATGGTTATCATTCATGAACGGAAAGCCCGTTTGTTCAGCAGCATAACTCATTTGCTCAGGATGGTTCATCATCATCTGGGTAAACCATTGTTGTTGATTCTGATTATGACTCAGATTCAGATTCAGAGGCTGCTCATAGTGTCCTCCATGTGGAGCCGCATGATGACGAAACATCTGCTGCTGAACCGTAGCGGCTGGAGCGGTTGTAGCCTCCTCCATAGCCAATGTTCCGGTCGCTTCAGAAGGAGCAGCAGCAGCATTGGAAGGTTCACCAAGCTCCATACCACCAGAGCTCCCTAAGATCTCGATCCTGCGGTTAACATCTTTAAGATATTGATCAATCATATAACCTAAATCATTAAGATCCATAATATTCAGATGAAACATCCCCATGTTTCCGACCAAGCACTGGAACATGACTTCAGTCATCTCCATCTCCCTATTGTCTTTCCTCTGCTTCTTCAAGTTTTCAGAGGCTTTTGCTATTCTTTGTCTGAGAAAGGTTTCTTGATCCACCATTTTCTTGTTCTGGTCCATCTCTGGCAACTGCCGGAAGTCTGAGATGATTCTTTGCACACCGGAGTTTGATGGCCATACCTCAGGATTGGTGTCGTAAGGGCTGTAGATGATGGCACATGCGTTGATACCACATAGAGTTGAGAGCTCGTTCACTTTCTTTAGCAAACCTTTCTTTCTCTTTTTAAAGGTTGCTTTTCTTGAAGAATCATTGGCAATGAAAGCAAGTTTTACCTTCTTCCTTGTCATGATACCTTTTCTTCTAGTGTGTTTTGTTTTGTGTGTATTAATATTGAGTGTGTCTTGTGTCTTATATAGTGGGTGATAGAGGAGTACAAAAGATTTTCTCTCTTAATTAGAGATATTTTTTTCCTTACTATTAGCTGGTCAACAAATACAGAATACTAGATAGAGCCATAAAATTGTGAATCTGTTTAATTAAGAAAATATTGACAAAAGTTTTATAATAATACTCCAGGTTAATTTCATTACATCTTATTACATACATTCATACGTATCTAGAATAATACTTTCTTTTTCTGTTTTAACTCATCAACTATATTATCCAGCTATCCGCTTTTATAAACATAGCATGAGTTTTTTTTTTCAAAAAACAGTCATTCAAAAAGCAATATTTGCAATTCAATGAAACTGCCATATAAGATTTTTAAAAATCTTTATTTGAATTATTATGTCTTACAAGTTACGACTGGTGTTATATTTTAAAATAGATAGAATGTTAAAATAAAATGGAAAACAAATTGATGTATTGTTTTGGGGTATATAAACATTGATGTATTAAAATGATAATAAAAATTAGTTAGTATATTATTATAAAAACTTCATTTACCTTAACCACTTAATCACTCTAGTCAAAATTCTAACGTTATTTAGAACTAATAATTTCATATATTTGGAATAATTTCTATGATTTTCTTTTATAAGCAGGTCAAATTTGGTTTTAGTAGATTTTGTAATTATTTCCCTTTAAATGTTGATTTATTTCTTCTTCTTTGTTTTTATTGAAAACAAATGTACATTATCGTGAAGTATAAAAGTAAATTTCAACTAAAGCATTGCCAACTAAAGTATAAAAATCATAGTCATCAATCTCATTCTTTTGTATCTATATATTTATACCTAAACTTAGAAGCCTCTAATCAGAAGGTGAAGTTTAGAGTTTTCGTACTTTCATTTAGACGCTAACTAAAGACCTACAATTTGATTATATATCAATATATGTATTAGCTTAAAAAATGAATATTTAATGTGGTTTAAAATTTTCATTGATAAATTATTTTTATTTTATATAAAAGATTGATGTATCTTATTTAATAATATGCATTTAGGGAATATTTATAAAAGAAAATATTAATGGAAATGTGTTATTAGATCAATATTTGCAGCATTGTCTCTTTTAGTAGTATAGCCGAATTAGTAAGAAAATGCATTTAGAGAAAGAAATACTGGAAAATCTTGAAATATGAACCTAATAATATACTTTTAAAGACATAATCACGACTTGGTCAATAATTGATAGATTCATGCATTTATGTGTTGCTGACAAGAAATACAATGTAATACTCCCTCCATTTCATATTAAGTGTCGTTTTAGAGAATTTTTTTCGTTACAAAATAAGTGTCATTTTCGATTTTCAATGCAAAATTTATTAATTTTATTTTGCAATCTATTTTTCTATTGGTTGATATATAGTTAGCTGTGTAGGTAATTGTGTTTTTATATGGAAAATATACAAAATTAATAGTTTTCTTAATCGTGTGCATGAACCTAAAACGACTCTTATAATAAAACACAGAGAGTAAGATCTATTCAAATAGCATTTACTTTTATACTCCTTCCGTTTTTTAATGCTTGACGTTTTAGAAAAAAGAATTTATATGAAAATAATTAAAGTTTTTAATTTTCTAATATAAAATTTATTAACGATTAGTCGAGCTGATTAAGGAGCTCGGCTTCTCTTGGAGTAGCTCTGGTTGGTTCGGTTGATTCTTCTAGTGTCATCGTCACGTAGTTGGATTACTTCCCTCCTTCTAGCGCCAAGCTGTTATGGTATTTTTGTGTAGGGTCATTTTAGTACTACGAAACACAAGAAGCACTACAAGAAAACACGTCCTTTACTAGGACGGGTTTTCCTCGTTATTTCCTAGTAAATGGCCCTTTACTAGGAAATAGCGAGGAAACGTGTTTTGTCGAAAGACGTTCATCGTAAAGGCTATTTTCCTCGTAAAGGCCTAGCTAATTTACGAGGAAAGTTTTCCTCGTAAAGCCGTGGAAAACATTTCCTCGTAAGCTCCACGTATACTTTCCTCGTAAGGGCGTAGTAAACTACTTCCTCGTAAACTCGTAGTAGACACTTTACGAGGAGTTTGCTAGGAAAGTTTACGAGGAATTTACCTCGAAACCTTTACGAGGATTTTACTTCGAAACTATTTTTTCCTATTAAAAAAATATATTTTGTAAATTAAAATTATATATATTTAAAAAAATTAAAAAAATAAATAAAAAAATATTTATAAATAACTAATAATATACAATAATAAGTTTTAAAATTCATAATATACAATGAAAAACTAAAAAAAAACTAAAAATGATGCTGGTCTTGATCAAATTGGTTCACGAAGTCGTCTCCAGGGTCGTTGGATGCTGGCTGTGACTGAGATGGTGGAGGCTCTTGGGATGGAAGGGCTCCGCTTTCCCGTCTCTGACGCAACACTTCCGCCAGTTGCGGGTTTGTTAGCGCCACAACGTCGAGGATACCCGTGAGCGTACGCACATGAGACTGCGTCGCCTGCAACTCCGTCTGCGTCGTCTGCAACTCCGTCCGTAGGTGCGCATTGTCATCGG